GGACCTTTAGCCTGCCTACTGCGTCGGTCAGTTACCTGGGGTTGGGGTTGGGTTGGCGGAGGATCCAGGGTAACTGTGGGGATAGGGTGCCTGGTGCGGAAGATGCAGTTGCGGGTAAGTTTGCCTTTGCGGCTATACTAGGTAAAGTTGGGAGAGGATCTTCGAAAAATGCCACCTTAAGACGATCGATTGACACCGTTGTTCGGTGACCATTTCGGTCTAAGGTAAAATGCTTAGGAATTCGTTGGAGAACTCTGAAGAGGCCGATGTAGGGAGGCTGAAGTGGGCGACGCATTGTGTCTGTACGGACAAAGACGTGGGTGCAGGTAGAGTCCACTGTGCACATGCATATCACTGGTCTGCTCATAAGAAAGGAAAGGGCGCAGCGAACGCATGCTTTGAGAAGGAGAGGCTGCGAAGTTTGGCGGTGGCATACACGATGGCGAGGGGGCGAGATGAATTCTCCTGGCAGCTTAAGCGTTGTGCCATTTGCCAGCTCCACTGGGGCGCACTGCAGGTTAGCTTCGGTACTGCTGCGGATACCTAGAAGTACTAACGGAATGTTGTCGCTCCAGCCAGGGTCAGAAGTGACACAGAGAGATGACTTAAGCTGTCGATGAAAGCGTTCGACTAGGCCATCCGCCGCTGAGTGAAATGCCGTTGTGTGGATACGGCCACAGCCTAAGAAGTTGCAGAACGTATCGACTTGCGAAGATTCGAAAGGCGTTCCACGGTCGGTAATGATGGTTAATAAGCATCCGTAGCGGGACATCCAGCGGTCCAAAAACGCACGAATGATTGTTTCGGCCGTGCAGTCTGATACAGGGATGGCTTCTGGCCATCTAATAAAACGGTCGACACTTATCAGTATGTATACGGATCCGCGAGAGAGATAAGCGTCCTACTAGGTCTAAGTGTACCTGAGAGAACCTCGAATCCGGCACAGGGAATGAGCCGAGAGGACTACGGTTGTGTAGATGTACCTTGCACTGCTGGCAGTGAAGACGAGCTCGAGCTCAGTTACGAACGTCTTTGTTTACGTCTTGCCAAACGAAACGCACGGTGACCAGTTTTAAAGATGCCCGAATACTAAGAGGAGACAGTGAGTGTAGGGAGTTGATAACTGTAGGTCTGAAAGGCGAGCACGATGGATCTTGGACAACCTGTGGATGTGTCACGAAGGAGAGTTCCGTCCGTAGTTTGGGAAGGCTGAGTAGCATATGCAGTGGACTGCAGGGTGCTTTGGAGGTCTTCGTCTAGGCCTGAGCCGATACCATGGCGGCGAAATGGACAGTAGGCAAAGAGTGAAACGTGAGATTGACGCAAGAGCGAGCGTCGGCGACGGGTTTGGTGACACCTGAGACATGAGGTATGTCAGCAGTGAACTGCGTGACAAAGTCTAGGTGTCTAGTTTCCAGTGCTGAATATTTGTCAGAAGATGAGTTGAAGGCGAAAATAAGAGGCGTGTGATCAGTATAGACCGTGAAAGCCCGACCTTCTATTGTGTGTCGGAAGTGACGAATAGCTAAGTAGATGGCAAGCAGTTCTCTACCGAACGTGCTGTAGCGGGATTCCGCTGGTGGCAAGCGTTTGGAGAAGAAACCGAGCGGTTGCCACTGTCCACCAACGTGTTGTTGGAGAACAGCTCCTACCGCAACGTCTGAAGCGTCAGTTGTCAGAAAGTGGGGAGCAGACGGTTCGGAGTGAGCGAGGAGAGCTATGTTGGAGATAGCATCCTTGAGCTCAGTGAAAGCCGTGTGTGCTGTGTCGGGGAAAGCAAACTTACGTTCGTTTCCTCTAAGGAGGTCAGTCAGAGGCTGCATGAGTTGAGCGCAGCGGGGATGAAGCGTCGGTAGTAGTTGACTAGACCACAAAATCGACGTAGGTGTTTAAATGAAGTCGGAGCTGGGAAGTCTTTGATGGATTGGACCTTGTCCGCAAGGACCTCGATGCCAGCTGATGAGACGAGATGGCCTAGGAATTCTACCGAGGACTTGCCTAGTTCGCACTTAGTCGGATTGACGGTTACGCCGTGTTGGGTCAACCGCTGGAAGAGGGACTGAAGATGAGCTGGATACTTTTCGTCGGACAAACTGACCACTAGAATGTCATCGAGGTAGGGGTAGGCGAAATCTAGGCCACGGGTGACATCGTGGATGAAGCGTTGAAAAGTCTGTGCGGCGTTGCACAGTCCAAAAGGCATTCGTAAAAATTCGAACAATCCGAAAGGGGTAATGACGGCTGTTTTAGATATGTCTTTTTCCTCAACAGGTATTTGGTGATAGGCTCGAACAAGATCGATCTTGCTGAAGACCGTCTTACCTGTGAGGCATGCAGTGAGGTCCTGCATATGTGGGATGGGGTATTTGTCGGGGAGCGTAAATTTGTTTAGGGCTCGGTAGTCACCGCAGGGGCGCCAGTCTCCAGATTTCTTTGGAACCATCTGGAGTGGAGAGGACCAAGGGCTATCGGAAGGGCGGATTATTTCAAGTACGAGCATGTGTTCAAACTCAGCTAGCTTTAGATTCTCCGGCGACAGTCGGCGCGGGCGTGATGAGACCGGTGTGCCGTTGGTACGGATATGGTGCGTGACCTGAGATGCCACGGGGAGAGATTCGTTCATTGGCTGAACGAGCTTGGGGTACTGAGAGAATAGTTGGACATAGTCGGAGGAAGTCTGTGGGCAAACCTACACTGGGGTGATAGCTGCAATGCCGGCGTTGGTGCAAGCGACGCCGAGCGTGGTTGCGGGGTCGACTATCCTCTGTTGTTTCGCATCGACCAAGAGGTCGAAATGTCTGAGGAAGTCTATGCCGATGATGGCAAACGGGACGGCGACAATAATGAACACCCAGCGAAAAGTTCTACGGAGACCCAAGTTAAGGATTAAAGAACGCTGGCCGTAAGTAGGGATTGGTGGGCCGTTGGCGGCACGAAGACTGAGAGTAGCCGGCTGGGTCGCCTCAACAGGTGCAGGAGGAACCACGCTTACTTCAGCTCCAGTATCGACCAGGAACGCGGTTCCATTTTTGCAGTCCTGAACACAAAGGAGGCGACTGCCGTCGAGAGGACGATTGACGCTACTCGCCTTTACGTCGTGGCCCGAGAGTTTCCCCGTTGAGTCGCACTGAAGGTACAGGGTGTGATACAGCGCTTGGCTTGTGCACCAAATCGGCGGTGGTATCAGCAGTACTGGTTACCGCCTGCAAAGTCGTTACGGTTAGGCGATTTGCTACGTGGGCGGCGTCCGTTATTGTTAGACCTGTTAAAACACGACGTAAAGCAGCTAGTTCCGCTAGAATAGTCTTAAATTCCTGTGAAGTATGGGCAGAATTGGTAGGGTGTGAACAACAAGGCACGCTATTATGAGTGCAAGGGAACTATGGCAAAGGGGAATTGACAAAATCAAGCTGAGGACGAAAACGATCAACTACTGCGTCAACTATTTGGGGGGCGTCACCTGGCGTTTGAAGTTGAATAGCGGTAAGAATGCATTGGGCTGTTTCTGGTAAATACTGTAATTAGAGTTCGCGCAATAACGACTCCTCCATGTACGATGTACCGAGCATTTGGAGCATCTCGCTCAGTAGAGTTGTGAGTTGCTAGTCACCCAGTTGCAAACTTTGGAATAGCTGCTGAATACGGGTCCGCTCAGATGGTGTGCTTCTGCTAATGACGGCCTGCTTAAGAGTGTCGCAGCGTTGCTCAGAAACAGTCTGCATTAAAAGGTCCCTGAGTTGTAGGTTACGTTGCTGGGGAGGCAAGCTAATTGATGGCTACACTTTGTTGAATCAGCGATGATCCTTTGGCAGGTGAATTCAGACTCTAGCAATACAAACCAAAACTGTGGATCGCTGCTAATAAACGGTTGGATAGGAAAAGTGACCGCGTTGAAAGCAGGACCGGGAAGTTTAGGATCCGGATCAGGTATTATAAAAGGATGTTAAACGATGAAAAACGGAAAACCAAACAAAAATACGACAAAATTTGGTATCACCTAGGGGTTGGGTACAAGGTGGCTGTGATGGAGTTCGCAACCGAGATCGCCAATTGTAGAGCCAAAGTTACTGCTAGCCACAGTTTCCAGTAAGACTAATCACGGCTACCGAGTATACAGAAGAGAAAGTTTGCCCAACCCAAAGTGTATTGTACTAGCTACAAAGAACTGAAAGTCAATTAGCGAAGCACGAAGTGATGAACCGTAGAACTCACAGAAAACGAAGGCGAACCAGTAAAACAAATGGACGATCGGAAGATACAAACAAGAATAAAATCCAATGTCACAAAATACGGAAAGCATAAATGTTTCACGTTCACTACAAGTCAGTGGCTTTCCTGCATTCGGTTTCTTGCATCTGGCTCTTAATGCGCATTCCAACTGGGTTAGTTTAACGCACTTTAGTCATTACTCCGTGTTCTCTGTATTCCATTTGTTTTCAACCTCTTTTTGCAGTGGTCAAGTATTGTTGTTGATGAAATATTGTTGATGTTATCAGAACAGCTCACTGGCTAGTAATTGTAACCGGATTTACCGCACTTAGGTGTTCGGCTCATAGCTGTCAAGCGAACTGTACTTAACTGAATTCCATGACTGAATCAGTGACGGTGTCATCAAATACAATGGATTAATACGCACAGCAGTTAACGGAATGTATACGCTTGGGTCTCAATCACGCTTACACTGGTTGATTGAATTCCCCGTCAGGTTGCGACAAAATTATTATTATTATTATTAGTAGTAGTAGTAGCAGTAGTAGTAGTAGTAGTAGTATATATGCCACTTTGAAGTAACTGGGATTGTGTCTAGGTCACAGGGATGCCAACATGACATAATGGTCACGGTGTCCAACTACCCACTGATCTCCACCCCCTAATTGGTCAGGATGAGGGAAGTATCCTCCGGTCCAATGGCCAATAATAAACGAGCACAATTTTGTTGACCAATCGCAGACAAGCTGAGCATGGGGGCTTATAAAATGCCTGACACGGAAACATGGGTCGCTCACATGTTGACACCTCACATTTACATCAGCTGATCTTCCTTCCTCGTGATTTCCTATTTGCGAATGGATTCATCTTCGTGCGTACGCGTAAGTCTGTTTTGAGTTACCCGCCGTATTTAGACGGTTAACACTTAAATAAGCGGTTACTACGACTGAAAATATACTACTTTTTTGGATCGACACGAGTTCTATCCAGCGTGGACTCGTTTAACACTAAAGATTTGCAGTTGTGTTCTATTGAGTTACCGATGCTTGTGCTCTCGAATGACTGGGTCTCAGATTTTTGCTGTTATGCCTAGGCGAGATGAAATTCAAGCTTCCTGTTATGTTATGCTTTTCCTTTTACTAATGTACACATGTTACTCTTTACTCAGAAATTATCCTCGCTTCTCTTCTAAGATGTATCATGCAGCATCATACCAGTGTCGCATTCATCATTTGCTTTTGCCTAGACCAATAATTGGACGGTTAGTAATGCACACCTGGGGCTTAGTTCATCAGGATGTGGACACTTTGAACTTGATCCCGGAAAGTGAGAAAGCTGAATACGGTGTCCCATTTCAACCCTGGGTTTTGGAGCCTCACTGGTTTTGATCGACGATGCATCCTGTTTCATTAGCTACAGGTACTCTTGTTATCTGAGTGGTGCAAGAGTCATGTTTCGCACACAAGCAAAAGCCGTATCATTTTACTTCCTCAGTTACGATCAACAGTAGTCGTGTTTATTCCCGTGAATCAGCCATCTTTGAATTAAAATCCCACACTTGGGTTGTCCAGATTTCCGCTCTATCTTTCAACCTTACAGCAGCTGACGGTGAAACTTATGGGCCCATAGGTCTAGTTGCGTTCTGTTGTGATCAACTGTAATGTCGTAAACCATAAACATTAAATACACAAGTTCTGGTCGAGCAAGCTGATAACAAATCGTGGGTCAGTAATCGCGACTTCAACTCGCTCTGCAACTTGTCACAGATTTCTTTCCCATTCTTACTTAATATTATTTGGTCTTTGCTTGCATTCTGCAGACTCGTATGCTCGAACAGGCGGCTCGTCTGTTAGAGGGAACCAACAACGAAGATGCGTGGCATCTAGTGGAACTATTTCAATATACGCAACCCAGCGCGTTCATTCATATTTGCCATCGGATTCTTGCCACTTTTCTCGAGTTAACGCACGATCATTTTGAACACGGATGGCCAATTCAGACCCGACTGGGCCCCATGTCAGCAGCTCACGAACGCCGTCAGTGGAGTCGGAAAAAGACAGTCAGCGCTTCGTTGATTGATAATACCTCCCATTGCGATTACTGCGATACGTACATGAACCAATATGCATTTCCCCCAGTCATACAGAGTGAAAGTCGCAAAATATCTCTAACAAGGACTCCAACTTCATCCGCTCTCATATCCCCACAATTAACGCAGTTTACGGCTTCTTCTCAGGGCGAGACAAATCACTTCCACTATGCTGCAAGGTTGAAGGTCATCACTCCAAAGCGTCTGTTCAAACAACTGCTACCATCCAAACCACGTGCGCCAAACGGCCCCAACGGTCGTGCTGGCACCAAGGTCTCCTGCTTTGATCTTGGCTGTGCACGTACTCCGGCCCGGCTCCATGACTCCAACCGGGTAGAAGGTGAGTGCCCGCGTACCCGATTGGTGATGGCTGGTGTTTTCGACTACATTAAGGTTGGTTATTTGTCCTTCTGGCTAGGTCCTGCACACGTGATTTTTACTCCCCCCGCGCACATGAGCGACGTTCTTCACCGGCCTGCTTCGCACAGCTAAGGTCGGTAAACACTGAGCGTAACAGATGGACATGTTTGAACGAGGGTGTTTGCACAGTGTATAGCAGGCATTTCGTTTTAGCTCAGGCAAATGTCTGAGTCACTAATGATAAGCTGTGCTGTAGCCGAAAGGCACTGGCACTAATGTGTTCCTGCATTGATTTGGTTCAGTGTTGGGACTGCCTGGGGACGGGACTCCGCTAGATGCGCCTCAATCGTGTACACACGTTTACAGACAAATCAGAATGGCTATGCTACCGGGTAAACCAAATGGCAACGCAGCGAGATGCATGGAGAAGCTAGTACATGCATTTGTCTCCCAGCCAGTAGGCTGTTGATGTTCTATTTTTGTATTGGTAACTCGTCCGCTACAGGTATTTGAGGGCACATCAGAGCTAACCCAATGATAGCTTGATCTCAATGATTTCCAAGTAGGCCAAAGCGCACACAAATTTCTGGGTTACCACGGTGAACTACCATCATGAATACTATTTTCGATCACACGGCGTAGTTAGCGAAGCGTTGTTTTACAATTGTAGTGCGTGGTTAACCTCGACATTACGAAAACGTACTTTTCAGATATCACCTGATTGCCTTAATAGCTTTCACTTACGCCGCAATATCTAAGCAGTTTTAATCACGGGACCTTCTGTCTTGCTTTCAGATGCGTCCACCAGCGGCGAACCGCCGAGTGTTCTGAGCCCGTCCTCAGTGAATCCCACCGCGTCTCTAAGGCTACCCGCCTCTGTAGTCCCCAACGAACTGATGCCACCATCTCCGATCAACGTGGATAGCATCGTCTGTCACTGTTTGATCGACTACTTGCTCGAAAGCCCAGGTAAGTCGTTTTTCTGCATTCTGTAGTGTAATGACACGTGATGGTCTTTCCTAACACAACTCAAACATGGGTCTTTCGCGTAATGTTTTTTTCCAGACATATGCTCAGCAGAAGGACTGTTTCGAGTTCCGGGTAACTCACAGCGCATCCGAAGTCTGTGGTTACAACTGAAGACCTGCCTCCAGCCTACTTACGTTCGGTTTCCTGAGCCAACTCCTTTGGATGAGAATACACCCAGTCCAAGCGGTTACTCAAATGTCTGGTCACTGCTAAGTCGATATTCGCCATACGATTTGGCCAGTCTGTTGCTACGCTGTTTGGCTTCGTGTACGCGTTCCCGCGGATCCAACAAACAAATTTTGCTACATCTGTTTCAAGACGAAGCTGACAGCTCCACTAGCGGTCTCATTCCACCGCAGCTTAGTGACTTGTGTTTCCAAGCCACGCGACTGCAATACACCTTGGGTAAAGGCTCCGACAAGGATCCGAAACTTATCGAAGACTGGATACCTATCCTGTGCCAAGCCCGACAGCTACTCACCTATCGTATTGTGTTGCAGTTTCTATTGCCCGAACCCGAACGTTTGATCCTGTTGAATCTGTTGCGCTTGTTCAGACGGATCGCAAAATGCAGCTCAAAGTCGCGTATGTCACCCGAATGCTTGGCCAGATGCACAGCAGTGGCTGTGTTTGGTTCACCTCATTCGCTGACAAAAACCACTGAGCACCTGGCCCACACAGAGCCAGATACAAATCCACTTCGGTGGCGAATCGATACCTTGAGTAACCTGATCCAAATGGCGGACCAACTTGATCAATTGCCTGGTTTGGTGTACATGGCTGTTAGGAATCGGCTTCGGTGCCATTTTGGACATTCACCTGGACATAAACTACAAATGCTGGCTCCGGTTGGGGTCAAGAGCGGCGAGTGGATAACACCGACTGAACCCTGGTCGTGTCCAAAGCGAACGCGATGCACGTTGGAGGACGTGGGGGCGGAATCAAACAATTCGGTATGTATTTCATGTTCTCACTGATAACGTTCTTGCATAGATTAATTACGATGTACAGCTTCCGTCAGTTGAGGCCCTTCCGAGTCATGAAAAGTAGAACCATTTTTAATTCTTGATGTTTTGCCATGTTGGTTCCGTGTGAATGATGCGAAAGCTGTCATTCGTAAAATAATTGCCTGATCTATTTCTCCGTTAACAGCCGATATGCACGGAGTTCCATTGGTCACAGTGTACAAATCTTGGAGTCTCTGAACTGATGGGTGACGCAGGATCCGTACGTTTGCAGCGAACGAAGTCTTCCTTAGAACTGGATGGCCGCGCTACAACTGGGCATCCGAAGAGCACCCAGCAACCTTCAGAAATGTTCAAAGGTTGGCGTCGTCAAAAAGCCGCTGCTACCGAAGCACTCTGTCAGATCAACGCGCTAAAACATCGCAGCTTTTGCTCCCTTTATCAGAACTAATCGATCTAGACCTCAATTTAGTCTACTGTAACCTTCCTGTGATACCGGTGGGGCTTGTTACACTTTCCAACCCTATCCCTGATGCGATGATTACTTTTGTGGCTGTTGTGCCAACTCTCGAAATTGCATCACTTGTCTTTCTGTTCTCTTCCAGTTTTGCCCCTGTTAATATAGACCTATCACATGAGTGAATAACAATTCATTTGAAATAAACAATTTAAGGGCTGTTTTATCATTCCATTTGGGCCCATAGACCACTCCAACATTTCTCTCGCCAGACTTTTCCTACGTGTTTTGGGATTAGCCGCCCCCATTCCACTCGAATGATCGACTACTTCGCTGGTAACGACAAAACATTAGTGTGCGTCTTCTCGTTTTCACTTGAATGCAGACATGTGAGTGAGAAATCGGGATTGTATGGTTGGCAAACTTCAATTCACTTAAGCAAATAACCTAGCAACTGGACATCACGAGGAGTGACCTTGATAGCCCAGCTTCCAGAGGTGTGTTTTCGTGGTATACTGAACGTGTAGTTGGAAGGTGTTAAGTTGCTAATCAAGCAAGCGTGAAATCTTCCTGGAGCAAATCCTTCAGCACAGAAACATGTAATTCGGTTCAGGGGAATAGAGACAATTGGCTTCCTATTCTACTCGTCTGATGCTGTACATTAAACAACAAACACTAGTAAACTGGTGGACGAAGCAAGGATTTTTCATTGGAACTTTTTGGATGGCCGTTTAATGCCTATGCGACAATTAGTAGATCACTAATGGTGCTTAGAAGTCAAGTGTCGATTCAGCATGACGCTTTCGAGACAATACCTGGACTTCCTAGTGATACTCGATATTCTAGCGGCTAAAGTTTAGCTGCATTGATACCTTGGGATAAGTACGTACAACTGAGAGCAAAAACAACGGAAAGAATCGGCACCAGGCACTCGGAAGGGCACCACAGATGATATGCAGAAACGAGAGCCATTTATCCGATTCGTCAATCGCAATTTACTGCTCAGCAAGTCCCGGTAAGCGCAGTACGTTTGTTGGGCCGTATTGAAGGTTGTCCCGTCCGTTGACCACACTGAATAGTCGGGATTTAGCGTTGGAGCAACCGATCTATGTTATAATCAGTAGCTCATCACATCGGAACAATCAAGCAGCCATCACAAGCACGGTGCAGCTGTTTCATCCTTTCGGGAACCGTTAGCAGTGCGAATTCCATCCGGCTCATGTGAGGCTAAAATCAACAACGCGACTTTTACGGATTTGCATTTGAGGTCATCGGGCTACGGGGAGAAGCAACGAGCGTCGTGACTAAGATGTGATATAGTGCCAATGACTTGCACATTACTGCTGTGCGGAGAACAGGGTAGCCCCGTCACCACATTTCTACTTGTACCGTCTAACACGCTACTACCCTCTTGCGATCTAGGTTCATCCACATGAGGTGTTGGTTAACTAATTCATGGCCAGAGTGGTTATGCGCATTTCGAATAAGTAGTGTGCGTTCAAAGGGAACGCGTAGTCGGTCTTCTTCGGTAACCTTGGTTTTTAATTATTTGCGACCGTATTCAAGAGCTTGTATCCCGCCGTCAGAGTTAGAATGGCAACTCATCTGATTGTCTCTACCTTCACAGGGGGCCTCCGTGAACTTTCCCCTTGATGAGCAAAGTAAAAGAGAGGAGTGGGTCATTATCCAGGCATCGGCTGTGTGGAACTCGTCCTCGATAACTGGCATATTCCTATGACCTTACCAGTCCTCCGAAACTGTTAACTTGCCACCTTTTTAACTGGATGCACCGGATGAATCAATTATTTTGCAACTCAGTGCTGGCGATGGTTACTGCCTCGTTTGCTGTCATACGGGGATTGAACCAGTTCATTCTGTGGCCCCACCCTCTAGTGATACAGCACAGCGACCAATGGGTTCGTTATTTGACCTGTGTGTGACCCCAATCGGGTGACACATGTTGCCAACTTGAGTTGTCCGCAGGGAAAGAGAAAGGAGCGCTGCTCTGCAGATTCCGTAGCCAACCACCCTCACATACCCATTCAGTAGGCTAACGGCAAAGGCCTGAATTGACCTAACTAAGCGTCCGCTGACAGCCGTATGACCTGACATTCGTTCATTTGACCGCCATTCTCGCTGAAGTGAATTTGAATTCCGATGCTGAATAGTGACGATGAAAGTGTTTCACTGCTACCAACATGCGTTAGTTGCCACATATGAAGCCAAGAAACCAGGTCAAATTCTATACACTGTTGCTATTGACGCGGTCGTTATTTTCGAAGTTGGGTACTCCAAACCCAACTTTGAATTTCTAACCGCTGTGCTAAGTGTTGTTCTCGGATCTCAGTGGTGTAGTCACTAAGGCATCAGCCATTAACCATTAGGCCCCAAGTTCCACTCCCAGCTCAGGTTATCTTCACCTGATGAGTCCAAACGAGGATGAAACTGCCGTTCGTTCGTTTGGAGGAGCAACACCGAAACCCGTTCAGGTCGTTAATTTCTCTTTTCTGAAGAGCATTTGGCCGTGGGCACCTGAACTGACTGATTACGATGAGGAGGGTACTGTGCTGCCGATAAACTTGTTACAGCTACATCAACCGGGATATGAATGATGTCGGCCGTAAGCCACTTGTGCGGGCAGATTCGTAGAGCTAGTAGAAATGTTGCACCTTAGTAACCGATTCATCCAATATATGTGTTGGGTCCGTCCAAATTCCTTTGTTCATATGCAAAGAAAGTCCACGAAAACATTTTTGCATAATATGTGAAACCCACACTCTCCGGGTAGTGAATTGTCCAAGCTATCATCCTGATCATCAGTTGAACCGAATGCTTGGTGTGTTTGGGAAATGCATAAAAGGGCGGTTAGACGAACTTTACTTCATTGTATGCTTAGTACATTCTGACCGGAAATAACAACGAAGAAGGCCGCAATGAAGTGTATTCACGGCTTTGATTTCATGAACTACTGGCACCACTTTCAACATCGGATATGTTTTGTGGCTCCGTGCAGCGGTCGCTCTGGTACTGCAGAGCATGTCTGCTGGAAACGGAGGCAACCTACCTGGCAAAACCGTGGTATCATACTGCATGGTAACCATATATATTGAACAAATGCACGAATAGTGTTTACTCCGTTTCTGTCGATTTATCGATAATTTTCAAACGTGCACCGTCCTCACTGACGAGAAGTGCTTAGTCACGAAGGCAGTGATCGTCTATAAATTATTCCGGGTATTTATTTGTTTTTGATCAATTTGGGTCCCTAAATATGAAGGTCCAATTACTTTTATTGAATATGTTTACAAGAAGGGATTTCAATCCATTGGTTTCTTTCGTATTTGGACACGGAATTTTTATTTTCGTTTTTCTTTCTTTGTTTAAATTTGACAAATATAAACAGAGGGAACCCATCCTCGGCGTAGGTTAGTCTCGGAAACAAGCATCCAAGAAGATAACAAGTCATAGGTTACATTGTGAGAGTCGGCCAACTCTCTCCGAATCGTCGGACTAAGGCTGGAAGCGGTTGTGAAGCAAAATTCTGAAGACTAACACAGTACTCTATTTTTCAATTCCAGTGCTTAAGATGTTATTTTATAAACGGTTGTGGTCGAAATCAAAGTCGCGAGTCCAAAACTCAACCGTGGAGTGGAAACACATAGCCAAAAAATGGAGTATGCATGTGTTTTACTATTTTGAATGCATATGAATATATGAACCTCGTAGGCAAATTATTATCACCTGTTCTGCTGTCCATCATTCAGAGCCAACCCTATTCTATGCCTCTGCGCAGACACCCGCCTTAAATACAGTTGACACAACCATGGGAAAACCATAGCGAGGATTACCAATAGTAGGTGTTCACAAATTGTCCCACAAATATCAGGTAGCTAGGTAACAGAGGTACCTTCCAACCAACCAAACGGAGTTGGTTCCACTTTGTTTGACGGAACATATTCAAAACACCTCGGTGTATCAGATCGCTTGTCAACTTTGTAACCTATATCAAGTAACGGGCATTTTGTTTGCGAAGCGCCTTCCTTTCTGTTACACACTGGACAACTCGACGAAGATCTCCATTGGTAATGACGCAACTCCTCTGTCCACATGTATGCATCCCCAGCTTGGTTTCCAGTCGTAGTGAAATCCGCACTGCAGTGGCTGTCTAATGTGAACAAGCATGCGAGGCACAAAGCATATGTTAACAGTCGATAGGAGATGAAATGTTAGCAATTCACTCAGATTGGGCGATTGAGCAACTGATCCGCAGTGAGCGGAAGGGCGATGCCACTTCATGGAACCCCTAACCAATAGCAATGAGATAGAATGATTTGCATACATTCCGTTTATGATTCAATGGGTCCCGTCTGATGGAACAAATTATCAACACTGTACACGATACTTACTTTTCAAGATAGCGCCTGATGACCCTTTACTAGCATTCTACCTGCTTTTAGAATTACTATGTGCTATGTACCATTGTTTGGTTGTCTCTCTAAAAGACCATAAAAGCGGGTCAGGCACAGTGGAGGCGTGTTAACCACTCGAAGTAACAAGCGAAGCTAAACTCCGTGCCCTACTCCGACTGCTCTCTGTTGATATCATTATTCTGATGCCCACCCACCAAGCGTTCAATTTTTCGATAGCAGTTGTTCTTCTATCTCGAATGCATCCCGATGAGGAGGTGGGGTTGACAATCTGACAGGTTGACCCCCAATGACCCCACACCCCACCTGTTCGTCATGCGTTCATCCGTGCATTTTCGGCATTGGCACTCGCAACACTAACCGGTCTTGGGCGAGTAATTATGATCCCCGTCACGCTCCCCCTTCTCTACGACGCTAGTCGTTAATTATGGCAGTTAAAATACAACCGGGAGACGATTGAGTGTAGACCGGTGGATCTGTCCAGCGCCTTATCAAAGAATGAACTTCTAAACTGTTTGTTCATGGTTGATTCCGTTTACCGAAATGAATTAGTGATGTTCATAGTCGATTACAAGGGAGGCGCAAAACTGCTTCCACGAACTTAAGTATCCTTGTAACAAGTCACCTTCCTGTCACCCGTTTAAGATCCACCAGAACCCCTTAGCAAGTCATGTCACTGAATTCGCTGCATTCGATCACTTACGGTTGACTGTATCCCTTAAGTGAAGTGAGCCTAGAAGAAGCCCATCGTTCCACTGTCTTGGCCACAAACAAATGAAAGCCAGTAAAGCTTA